CCGTCTCAAAAAAAAAAAAAAAAAAAAAGGAGTCAATTTCCAGAGCCAGTTCACCACAACCAAAGTAATATTTAAGAGGAAAAATGTTGAAGGTAAATTCATATCCAACAAATTCTTTTTAAAAGTGGTACTTTTGCCTTTAAAGTCATAATATTCTAGTATTTGCTATACTATTTGTAAATTAGCCTTTCTCCGGTCCCAGTGATCAACTGCTGTCTGGTGTACATACCGATAGAATTTAAACCTGTTAATAATTTTTCTTCTAATTTAATTTATAGTTGGATAGTAGCCCTCACTTCCCACCCTACCCCTGTTAAAATTAAACATGATGAAGAAAAATCTGGATTTGTGCTGGGTACAGCGACTCACACCTGAAATTCTAACACATTGGGAGGCTGAGGTGGGAGGATTGCTTGAGGCCAAGAGTTCAAGACCAGCCTGGAAAACATAGCAAGACCCTGTCTCTACAAAAAAATGTAAAAGTAGCCAGGTGTGGTGGCGTGGGCCTGTAATCCTAGCTACTTGGGAGGCTGACGTAGGAGGATTGCTTGAGCCCAGAGGTTCAAGGCTGCGGTGAGCTGTGATCATGCCACTGCACTGCAGCTTGTGTGACAGAGTAAGGCCCTGTCTCTCTTTTTTTTTTTTTTTTTGAGACGGAGTCTCGCTCTGTTGCCAGGCTGGAGTGCGGTGGCGTGATATCGGCTCATTACAACCTCCACCTCCCAGGTTCAAGCGATTCTTCTGCCTCAGCCTTCCAAGTAGCTGGGACTACAGGTGCACACCACCACACCTGGCTAATTTTTTGTATTTTGGTAAAGACAGAGTTTCACCATGTTGGCCAGCATGGTCTCAAACTCTTGACCTTGTGATCTGTCCGCCTCGCCCTCCCAGAGTGCTGGGATTGCAGGCATAAGTCATGACGCCTGGGCTCTTTGTTCTTTTTTTTAAGAGGTAGAGCCTTGGCTGGGTGCTGTTGCCCACGCCTGTAATCCTGGCATTTGGTAGGCCGAGGCGGGCAGATCACCAGGTCAAGAGATCGAGACCAGCCTGGCTAACACGGTGAAACCCCATCTCTACTAAAAATACAAGAATTAGCTGGGCGTGATGGTGGGTGCCCGTAGTCCCAGCTACTCTGGAGGCTGAGGCAGGAGAATCACTTGAACCCGGGAGGCAGAGGTTACAGTGAGCCGAGATCGTGCCACTGCACTGCAGCCTGGCGACAAAGTGAGACTCCGTCTCAAAAAAATAAAAAAATAAATAAAAATAAAAAAAGAACAAATAAAAATCTGGATTAGTATAAGATACATATGGGATTTGGGGATTTGTTTATTTGGGAAAAGAGCATATGCTTCTCCAAAGCAAATACAATTTCTTTTTTGAGGGTTGGAGGTTTTCCAGTGAAATGTAACTAGACAAATTCTAAAAGAGCTGTAACACTAAAATCTCTTTCAATTTTAGTGTTGAAAGTGGAAGTATTTTAGGCTTTAAAAGTCAGGCATACCTTTCTTCTATTCGGTCAGGTAGTTAGTTGTATGACCCAGGGCCATTTACTAATGCTTTAGAAGTTCAAGTTTCCTCCTGCAAACAAATGGCAGTAATTTTGCTTATTTTGCTATAGATTGTGAAAGTTAAAACACATACGAAAGCATCAAGTAGAGGATCTCTAGCACGTTAGATGTTATTTTAAAAATGTTATTTTTTTCTATTCTTTTCTCATTCCTTCAGATAGTTTCACCTTCGCATCGTTTTTCTTAACATATCTTTTCAGAAATACATCGAATGGATTCAGCAATATGCAACGATAATAACAGGATTATGCAAATAATATATAGTAATATATAGTTTTCTGTGTGTGTGTGTGTTTTGTTGGTTTTGTTTTGTTTTGTTTTGAGACAAGGTCTGGCTTTGTCACCCAGGCTGGAGTGAAGTGGTACAGTCTCTGCTCACTGCAGCCTCCCTCTGCCTCCTGGCCTTAAGCCATCCTCCCACCTAAGCCTCCTAAGTAGCTAATTTTTGTATTTTTCTTAATGGAGATGGAGTCTTGCTATGTTGTCCAGGCTTGTGTGTTTTTTAAATGTTCTTCCCACAGATTTACAGCTTTTAAAATGGGACAAAGTTCCATAGCAAATGCCTGGCAGAGTTGCTGGTCAATAGTAACTGAATTTTGAGTTTTAAGATGCTTACATTGAGTAATAGTTTTCTTTTTTTGTGTTTAGAGACAAGGTCTCTCTCTGTCACCCAGGCTTGAGTGCAGTGGTGTAATCGTAGCTCACTGCAGTCCCCATCCCGTGGGTTCAAGCAATCCTCCCATCTCAGGTGCAAGCTGGCACACCTGGCTCTGAGTAACAGCTTGAATGTCTGGAGTCTGGATGAAGTCAGTGTACTGAGATTTCTGGTTATTCTAAGTTTACAGTGGAACCCATTGAAGCTTTAAGTGCCTCCAGCTTTCTTTCTTTCTTTTTTTTTTAAACCTTCCAGCATCTCCACAAGGCATAAATGTACCATTTTCCTGGTTTTGTAGGCATGGATGTTAGAATATAGAAGTTGCCAGTATGTATCTATCTGATACACAGTTTCAGTGAACTAGGGCCAAAATGGAGATTTCCTGGCTCTTTAGCCATCCTATTCCTTTTTGGCATCTTGGGATCACCTGAATAAAGTAATATTAATAACAAACACTTACATAGAACACTTAATATGTATTCTTACTGCTGTTCTAAGTGCTTCTACATATATATTAAATTCTTATGACAGCTAGTAGAGAGATAAACTATCTTGCCCAAAGTTGACACGGCTATTAAGTTGCAGACTGGGATTTGAAATCAGGCAATCTAACTTCAGAGTCATTGTTCTTAACCACAGTGCTATATTGCAAGTATATATATCTCAAATTGCTTAAATTTTAGAAGTTTTTTTTTTAGGTTGGTTAGATTTTCTAGGCAAGTAAAGCCTACTAAAATAACTCTTTTCTAATTATTTAAATATTATTTTATTCAGTGCTTTTATTTTTTTAAAAATATCTTTTGGCTCTTATAGGCACAAGGGCCCCGTGTTCTGAAATTATTTTGAGGCAAGAAGTTTTGAAAGATGGTTTCCACAGGTAAGTTGCCCATTGATTTCTATTTCTATTAAAATAATGTCTCATATAATTGAGAGCAAAAAATTGATGGTTGAAATATGTATAAGTTGAAAAATCAGGCCGGATGCGGTGGCTCTCATCTGTAATCCCAACACTTTGGGAGGCCGAGGTGGGCAGATCACAAGGTCAGGAGTTCGAGACCAGCCTGGCCAACATAGTGAAACCCTGTCTCTACTAAAAATGCAAAAATTAGTTGGGCATGGTGGTGCACACACCTGTAGTCCCAGCTACTCCGGAGGCTGAGGCAGGAGAATCGCTTGAACCCAGGAGGTGGAGGTTGTGGTGAACTGAAATCATGCCACTGTACTCCAGCCTGGGCAACAGAGCAAGACTCTGTCTCAAAAAGAAAAGAGAAAAGTCACTTGCTTCCTCACAGTTACTCAGTGATGGCATATGTGGTCCACACTTTGAAATAATGATTAATTGAGTGGAGCAAAGAAGAAAACAAATATGTATTGTTTACCACGTACAATTGTCCCTTGGTATCTGAGGGGATTGGTTCCTCCTGGACCTCCCCCGAGGACACCAAAATCCTCAGATGCTTAAGTACCCTATATCAAATAGCATAGTATTGGTTTTTTTTTTTTGAGACGGAGTCTCGCTCTGTCGCCCAGGCTGGAGTGCAGTGGCCGGATCTCAGCTCACTGCAAGCTCCGCCTCCCGGGTTCCCGCCATTCTCCTGCCTCAGCCTCCCGAGTAGCTGGGACTACAGGCGCCCGCCACCTCGCCCAGCTAGTTTTTTGTATTTTTTAGTAGAGACGGGGTTTCACCGTGTTAGCCAGGATGGTCTCGATCTCCTGACCTTGTGATCCGCCCGCCTCGGCCTCCCAAAGTGCTGGGATTACAGGCGTGAGCCACCGCGCCCGGCCTGTGTAATGTCTTTCTTTACGACTGACAATATTCCTTGTTCTGGAGTCTCCTTATTCTACTATTAATATAGCCATCCCATATTTATTATTAATATTTGCATATCTTTTTTATCCTTTTACTTGTATCGCCTTTATCGTCAGTGTGTTTTCTGTAGATAGCATATAGTTAAGGATGGCCTTTTTTTTCTTTCCAAATCCCAAGAGCCTGTGAAAGGAGTTGCTGTTTTATCCATCTGTCAGTCTCTGCATTCTAACTGGAGTGATTAGAACATTTATTTTTAATGTAAATATTAATATGATTGGTTTGGTTTAAATATATCTAGCTACTTTTTTTTCTATTTGTTTTTCTCTTTGTTGCATCCAGTCTTCTTTTTTTCTTTTTTTTTTTTTTTGAGACG